ATTTCCAGCTAATCTAAAATAGTGACGTAGAAATGTCATTGCAAAACTGTGGTGTCATAAAGCCTGCAAAATTTGGGTGACGTAAAATATATATATTTAAAAAATGCCCGCCATTGCAAGTAATATATGCAGTATGAGTGGCCGTGTTGTATCCGATATACAAACTCGTGGCGTAGCCGAGATTTTGTATATCGGATACAACACGGACACGAATACTGTAGATTGCTTATCAAACGTCTAGGTTAGTTCCTTTGTGTTTCACTAAAATTTTCAAAATTAAAATGAATTTGCCCAAGAAAATCCAACTTAAAGTTTATGCAAATGAACACGATTCTGTATCTGATTTACAGAACTCTTCACGGTCGTGATTTCTGTTGTGTTTTCCTCATGAATTATTAATGAGTTTGATAATAAAAATTAAAAACCTATTAAAATATGGTGTCCCTGTTAACAATCACTTATTAGCAACGTCATTTTTRTCATTTGGTCGCGGAAATCCATTATTTAAAGAAGAAAAACGCCACCTTGGTTTTGAAGTTCCTATCGATTCTGATTGGCTAACATTTTTCTCAGATCAGCTGGTTACTCAGATCAGAGTCTCATTTCAGTGTCAAAATATCCAAAAAGACGAAATGGCAAATGTTGTGAATATTCAACACATAATTGAAGCTAACATTGAGTAACATAGAATTCGAATTTGGAGTACTATCCTAGCTAAAATTTTGAGCGAAAAAATACAGCAATCGGTTAAAATTTTGAAAAGAACAGAAAAAGAGATTTACTGGGTTGATGGCCTGCAGAAATAAAGACGGTACAAGGAAACAGGCACATGCAAAAACGGACGATGATCCGACAAACAGAAAGACAGGAATGGGCAAAACGACGGAAAGAAAGGCAGACGGCCGCAAAGACAGACAGGCGAAGATAACCGTCCTTTGCGCCTTTTTCGTGTTTTTGTAGTAAAAAAAAAATTCCTATGGTTTAGCGTAGTGTGTCCTCTTATTTACCACGATATGACGTCAGCAGTTGGTCAAAACTAGTTATGTAACATTTAACTTTTGACGTCATATCGTGGTAAATAAGAGGACACACCACGCTAAACCATCGGGAATTTGTTATTTTCCACGGGTTATCAAGTATACCAGTACAACGCTTCTATTAATAAATACGTTTAATTTTCTAATGCACTTTTAATATACGATTACAAGGTTTTTTAAAACAACGTACAGTTTAGAAATATATAATTTACATATATATACATAAATACTTTTATNACGGACTTATTTCCAGCTAATCTAAAATAGTGACGTAGAAATGTCATTGCAAAACTGTGGTGTCATAAAGCCTGCAAAATTTGGGTGACGTAAAAAAAATATATAAAAAAATGCCCGCCATTGCAATAAAAATTTAAAACCTATTAAAATATTGTGTCCCTGTTAACAATCACTTATTAGCAACGTCATTTTTGTCATTTGGTCGCGGAAATCCATTATTTAAAGAAGAAAAACGACACCTTAGTTTTGCAGATCCTATCGATTCTGATTGGAAGATAATCGGCCTTTGCGTCATCAGACGTAATTGCAACTGTGATATCTGGCAAGCTTTTGTGTCTTGTCTCCCGTCCCTCCTTGTCCAGTATATGCATCCATATATACTTATTTCAATTTCAATTTTTTCTCGCTTGTTGATTAATCAAGTAAATAAGATATTCCAACAAATTATGCAACAAATCACGAATCGCTCGCACACGGAGTCGGCGCGCGATTTAAACAACTTTTCATTTTTTTTTTCGTGTTTTTTTTTGGTAAAAAAAAAAATTCCTATGGTTTAGCGTAGCGTGTCCTCTTACTTACCACGATATGACGTCAGCAGTTGTTCGAAATTAGTTATGTAACATTTAACTGTTGACGTCATATCGTGGTAAATAATAGGACATACCACGCTAAACCATCGGGAATTTGTTATTTCTCACGGGTTATCAAGTAGACCAGTACAACACTTCTATTAATGAATACGTTTAATTTACTAATGCACTTTTAATATTACGATTACAAGGTTTTTTTAAAACAACGTATAGTTTAAAAATATATAATTTACATATATATATATTTATTTTTATTATTTTTTAATAAAAATATATCTATAAATTTAGTTAAAAAAAGAAAATATAGAAAATTATATAGCTTTTATTTCAAAATGGTTAAAAAATGTTTATCATTTAAATTTGCTATTTTTATTCCAGCCAAGAAAATATTGATCTTTTATAGGCCTGTAGAAAAAACAAAAGTTTATCAAAACATTGATTAACGTATCCCAAACCATTTCATTCATTCATTGATTCATCATTCATTAATTGATTGGTTGATTGATTCCTTTATTAACCATTTATCATTAATTTAGAACCATTCATTTTTCACTTATTCGCATTTATTTATTTACTCTCATCTATTCTTATTCATTCATTTATTCGATTATTAGCTACATTTATTTCTTTATTTATTCATATTTGTTTTTTCAAGTCTTCGATCTTAGTCAATCATTTAAATCCATTCATTCAATCGTATTCACTCATTCGTTTGTTTTTCGTTTTCTCTTGTTCACTTCGTGCCGAATTAATATCTGGATAACGCATAGAAAGAACTAACAATAGTAATAAGTAAGAGTAAAATACTAATAATATACCTTTTCYTCATCACCAGCTGAGCCTCGTGACCTTCTTTTCATAAAATGCATTCCTAATATAATGGACCCAATGATGAGCATGAGGGACACCACTAACAGGGCAACAAAAGCAGCCATACCAGCTGATAAYGTGTTGGATTTTTGGCTGTCTAGTCTCGTGTGGTGGTCTGAAAAAGAATTTGAAGGTTCGACTAAATAATGATGTGAATATTCTATAGACTATATTTTTAAGGAATGCGACATTTGCATTATAGCTTCATTAACTACAGCTACTAGACTCCCTTGCACACTTTCTTTTGTTAAGATAGTTAGCACCATTTATTTACTATTCCCTGGACGAATTTGAATAAGGAAGAAAATTCGCGAAGCATTTTGGTAGTCGTAGTAAAATAACGCCATCGTGCAAACGTCCTATTAGGTTCAATAATCATGCATTACTCTTAGATAGAATCTCAAACACTAATCGCGTTCTTAGCGTTATGCTTCCTTACCTATGCATGTCATATTGTCGCGGGATAAGGTATAACCRCTAAGACACAAACAGTCATAGCTTCCCATGGTGTTATTACATAGCTGAGTACATCCGTGACCCGGAAGGGTGCATTCATCTATATCTGCAAATAATAAGAGTCGAGTTAGGCTTGGTCAATTGTCTATGACCTCTTAGGGGGGAATTGCTTGGTATCAATCAGCTCCATGCTTTCATCCAGCTTAATGAATCTCATGAATATCATTACCAGGCTTCATTGAATGGCAAACATAATCGAGTCTATCATGCAGCTCAATGCATCTTCAGTGAATATAGCTCAATGCATCTTCAGTGAATATAGCTCAATGCATCTTCAGTGAAGAGCAAGCACTGCCCTCCCTGTTCAACCTTTTAAGTATCGAAAGCTTGCTATTCAGCTTAGTAAACTAATTCAACACGAGACTCTTAAGTCAATACTATGAAGGTGAAACATACCAGAACATGTCTTTTTGTCATCTTGCAGCYGGTAACCCGGAAGGCAGCCACATATGTAGCTACCGAGAGTGTTATGGCATGTCTGATTACAGCTGTGGTTACCGTTTTCGCACTCGTCTATGTCTAAAACCAAAGAACAAGATAGTTATATAAGTCAACTTATTCAAGGTAAGAAAAAGTAAACTAAAGCTCCAGAGGAGGTGCATTTATAAGAAATATTTCTTACTATGGCAAAAATTGGATTTGATCCATGCTGTGTGTTGACCCAATTTATATCCATTACTCCATTATTGAAAAATATATCATTTTTGTGGCATCGCACCTACCATCACATATTTTGTTGTCAGCGCTTATTTTGTATCCATGGTTACAATCGCAATAGTAACTACCAATGGTGTTGATGCACACTTGTTCACACCTATCGTTGCCAAGAGAACACTCGTTCACATCTAGAGGGAAGAAAGACAACATTACTTAAGAAGAACCGTTAAGCACTGGAGAGAACCAACAATCTCTATGACTCACACACAGCTATCTCAAAAAAAGGTTATCGAAGGTATTGTTGCACGTTGTATGTTGCATGTTGCATACTAAGCCCGAACTGCACTATGGGGGATGTGAATACAATCAGTGAAATGCTACAACGATATGCGAAAAAATTTTTCTGCACG